GAACTGAAAGGAAAATCCAGCCTCTAGCAACATGTCCAAACAGATCCTCATCCTGAGGCTGCCCATTAAGGAGAAAAGACAACAGTATATCCATGGGCATGATAAAATGTTGAATTATGGTCATAAATTCATGGGCTTTAGAGTCAGACCTACCTGGGCCCAATATCAGCCTGAGTCCTTATGGTTGGAGTCTCAGGGGGCTGCTATGTTATATCCCATAGGAACTGTTTGAGAAAGTAAAAATGCAGCTATAGGAAACAGTGCAGAGGGAACAAAAGTTTCTGCCTCATTACGGAGAGCTATCGGGAAGATGATCACTATTTTTTCACCCTGTCAGGAAGGAGGCTTGCAGTGGACATCAGAAACATAGGTAACATATCTGCGAAATCGGATATGGACAGGTAGAGACATCAGTGTTCTAGGAACAGCCTTGCCCCAATCATAAGAGAGAGCGAGCAAGAGACGCTCCTCTGCTTCCTCCGGCGTCGTTATCATGTCACGTGAGAAACAGAGGAACGTTTTTGTCCCTTTCCACAACGCCAGAAGGTATTGAACGGTACTAAATTCACAAGGGTAAGCAGTGGCAGCAGCAACGGTTTGCCATGTAACCCTGTCGACCTGATAAGCTGGCCAAGGAGGATGCAGGTTCTTTGTCCCGATCGCCATTCCTAATGTTAATGTGCTCGTATGTCACAGCACAGAGTAAATGTGTGTGTCCGTCTATACGCATCCCTCAGGGTTTACAGAAAGACTACAACTGAAGAGGCTGTAGCAGCGTTCAAATGGATGCGGAAGTGGGCTGAGAGACTGGCCTGAAGAGATAATGTCAGAACACTGCGGGGATGGAGTCAGGGTTGGAGGGTGAGGCCGTAGAGTCCAGTTATGATGAGGAAATGCTGAACTGGGGTCTGAGGATAGTTTAAGTCCTGGCCTAGATGGGTGTTAGGTGCACATTACTTTGTGGGGTCCAGATGAGGGAGTTTCATCCATTCCCCAGTTGATCTGTTGTGCCTGATAAATGCCAGGGCCTGTTTTCCCTTATGTGATTTGAGTTCAACCATGTGCCCTTGCACTCTTAATTCGCCCTCTTCAATTAACAGGGTGGCTCCCTATCTCCTCTGAGGAACAATCACTTCAATCACTTATCAGTCTGCTGCGCATGGGTGGGGCCAGGCAGACTGTTGTTTCTGGACTGCAGTCATACTCCTCCCTCAAAGTAAAGCCAAAAACTTCTCATCAAATGGAGTCTCCCAGGGCCAAGCACAGCCTCAAAAGCCACTCTTATCGAGTACGGAGCAGCTTAGAGTAAGGCACAGGCTGATCGCAGCACTTAGCCAGATTCACCAGAGAGGGCAGGAGCAAAGCTTGAAGATCGAAGCCAGAAGCACAAGGAAGAATGAGCTGAATGAATGACAATAGCGCCTCAGGACCCCAGCATATATCTGTGCCTTTGAGCCAACGATCCTCAGCTGCTTTGTCTGTGAAATGGACATAATGCTATCAACTACACAGCCTTGTAAATGTTAAATTACATGTTTATGTACATGAATATTCATACATATGTAATCTGTATGTATATGTACTTGTGTGTGTGTGTGTGTGTGTGTGTGTGTGTATGTGTGTGTGACGTCATCAGCAGTGGGCGTACTCTCCACAGTAAGCTTGCAGTTTGGAACAAATCAGCTTCTCAAACAAGAGTAACTGTTACAGTGGCCCCTTCTTCTTGAAATAAGAACCTGGTACCCACTGGGCAGCATAGCTTTATTTACTGTTTAATGTTGCATTTTCAAAGCACAGAGGTTCCATTTTCAAAGTCATAAATGCTTCCCAAGAACTTTTCTCTCATGAGTATTTTGTGGTAGGTATGACAGTTCTGTAGTTCTCCAGAAAATGGCAAAACTACTTTTATCCTTTTCCTTGTTTGCTACATGGGTTGGCAATGAAATGTTTTACATCCAGATTCTGGGCCCCATCAGAAATGGGCTAATTCTCACATAATTCTAATGGGGAGGAGAGACTCAAGGAGGGCCTGGCCTGGAGCTGCCGGCACAGGATGGAGGCCTGAGCTCTGGGGCAGCCTCCATGCCCAGACTCCACAGGTGAACTTACCTAACAGGAAACATGGTTGCATGATGTCATCAGCGGGCTCTCCGCAGATTTGGAATTAATTGTATACTGCGGCGTTTGTTACCGTATCTGAGGCGGCAGTTACGATGTAATTTAACAAATTTACACTTTAGATATGCCTCGTAATTTGATTGATGTCCCCTCCATGCCTGCCCTGTCTACTTGTTAGAAACCTCATTCCCATGTATCGTTAGCTTCCTGGCTCCTGGCTCGACCTCAGAAACAGAGAGCTCTGTCTGTTCAGCCTGTCACTCTGCCAATGCTGCGTCAGGTGTCCACTCTGGGTGAGATGGGTGTGGCAAGCCTCTCTTCCTTCCAGTTGGTCCTGCCTGCTCCCTGTCTTTTTGTGAATCTACCACAAGTTAGTTAGTTCAGCTTCGTGATCCGTAGCCTTTGTTCCCACCAGGTGAGGTGGTCACCTTTGTGGTCAGTCCTTGCGGTGAGCTACAACTTATGGCTCAGGCTGCAACATGCTGAGATACATTTCTGCTCATCGCTTTAGCTTTTGAAGTTTGTAGTCAATGGCCTTGCAGTAAGCATGCCTGTAAATGTGTCCACCATCTTTCTTTCTTAAATAGTGTTCTTAAAAAAAAAAAAGGCATGCTCAGGAACATGGTTTTTCTATATGAATATATGTGCATGTGTATGTATGTGCTTGCCAATTGTCATACTTCCTTTGCTGGAGAAAGATATTTATCTTTTTACCTGTTATAGCTAGTAAGACTTTCTCTTCTCTTTTCTCTTGGCTGAGTGTTGCATCCTTACATCCTCCAAGGTGTGAGCCCTTTACACTTGTCTTCATTTCTATTACTATAGCCTGTCTATGGTTTATATAAAAGCTGTGTGGGGTCTTTAGCACAGCAAATAACCTTCGGGCCTCACATCTTTCTACAGCAACCTCACAGGACCCTTTGCTGTGCACTTTTACCTCTCAGTGTCTTTATCAGGACCAGGCCTGTCCCCTAACATCCTGCCAGTGTCCATGCCCACGACAATCCCACTAACACTTTCGTTGGCATCTGTAAAAGAAGCATAATGCTCACACGTGTTGAGGAGTGATAGGTAATGTTTCAAAATATAAAGATAACATGTAATTGTCCGATCAAGGTATTAGCTGATCTGTCGTCTCACATAATTATCATTTCATAGTTTGAGATATTCATCAGATAAATTTAAACTTTTCACCCTATTGTGCAATATCGGTTTCACTAGTACTTCTTCCTGCTTACCCTCTCTTATCTCATCCTGCAACCAGGAGTCTTCTCTCTACAACTGTAATGTCACCCGTTACTAGATGCCGTGAATGAGTGGGACCATTTAGTATTTGTCTTCTCTTTGCTGACTAATCCCACTTACTATTCTCCATGGTCCGTGTTGTGTTGATTTTTACAAAAGGATGGAATTTTTTAACATTTTGTAGCTTTACAGTATTTCATGAAGTCTCTAAACCACATTTTCATCACCCTTTCAATAGATAATTACATTAATTGCTTAAAGAAAAAAAAAAGAAAACTTGGACTTTATCTGGAAAAAAAGTCCATTGTATACACTTATCATAATCAATCTAATTTAAGGTTAGCATCAGCCTATGTTCCCGTAAATTCCCTCGAGAGTGTGAGTTACTTAAGCATTACTTATATTCACCCAAAACTTTTGTTTTTAATTCTGTTAGGACCCTGTCTTTTCTATCCTTCAAGTACTTTCAGAAAATTTATGACTTCATCTTCTGCCCATCCAGATTTTAATTATACCTTTTTTGTTTGTTCAGAGAAAATTTTTCTCACTGGCTAAAAATTTAAGAGTTTATTGTCAATTTCAGACTTGTATTAACTAGTCATTGGGCAGAATTCTCTTTTATATTATTAAATTTTCACATAGTCTCAGAAATCTGCAGTCTTCTTAAAGTGTTTAAGAGGAGTTAACATTTGGTTTATGTTTGAAATGGACTTTCTGGATCACTAAATGAATATTTTCTGTTTCGGTTAAAAAAAAAAAAGAACTAGTGAAGAAAGAATCCATAGAATACTTGGCTACGCTCCAGAAATATCGACTTCTTGGAATATGAAAGCAAGGAATTATAGAGAGCATCCGTATAGCTAAGGAATAGAAGACAGGAAAGGAAAAAAAAAAAAAAAGGAAACAAGTTTTATTAGCCATACACCAGTTTTTAGGCGGTGAAGTCGAATTTTGATTGGCAATATCTCAAACAATCGATGCAGCTGTGTCTCTTTTAATTGAATTCCCATCAGTTAGCGCTAATACAGTACACGGGGTGTGTCGCAATAGACATTGTCACCTGCGAAGCCTCACTGAAAATAAAACCCAGTAAGTGCAAAGTTCAGGATTACCAGGAAGAAACGTAGTGGTCAGCGCTCACACTTTACACAGTCCGGCCCTGTGCAGGGCAGGGAATGGCCATGGAATACGGCTGGCCCGTCCGTTTACTGACAAGAGAAGTCTGCACATACACATTGCAGCCCAAGTTAGTGGAAAGAGAAATCCTTTCTTTTTGGGTGAGAAAGCAGGCGCACCCATTCATGAAAGCACTTGTAAACATTTTTGTTTTTCGGTCTACACTGTTATTGTCACAGCCTGCTTGATCTTCCTGCTTTGGGTTAATATAGAAGCCAATTATAGCTTCATCTGTGTAGAATTAACTTTGTGGAGCACACACCAGGGATTTGGCTGTCTTCACTATTTAGATATGTGCCATAAAAATGCGCATGAAACATGGAGCGGAGTGCAAGCTCTGCAGACAGCAGCCTTTCAGATTTATTGTGAGATCATTTGAAATTGGCTATGTTCTTGACAAATGTTAATTACTTTTTTTTTCTGGGTACGGGGGATTTGGGGGGCTTCCTGGGTCTCACTAGGTGGCAGTGTACGATTATATCTGCAAAAGCCATGACACCAAGTCCAGTGTCTCCAGCTGTGACCCCCACCATCAGGACAAACTCTCCGCATCTGCAATTGCTCCAGGAGGGGTTACTTCCCACATATATGTATACACAGCTTATTCCAGTGGTTTTCAAGAGCTGTACCGCCATTTCCTCAGGCTCCCGGATGGCGCCATCATTGAGGTATGTATGTATATGTGTATGTATATATGTATGGAAACGTTTGGAGGCAAATATTCTGTATATTACAGTTCATTGGTATATATATATATATGCATGTTTGAAAGTCTGTAGACTTAAACTTGATGTCAAACACATCACTAGGCACATAGGTAGTAAGTAGTATTTGTAATCCTGAGGCAGGTTTGGGGATGTAATTTTGGTTTTGCCTACACAAGGACACGACATAAAGAAAATGAAGGTTTCTGTTTGTAAACATATTGGGGAGATAGAACAGGAAAAATCAAGTGGAATAACTCAGAAGAGTCTACCTGCAACCGCTTTAGTTAGGTAATACTTACGAACATCAGTAGGCTGATGGAAGAATTCTGGGTCCACACTTGAGATGTGCATAGTTCTTCACTCAGAGGAACTCCACAAAAGGGAAGAGATGCTGGTGTTTCATTTTTCTCGGATGAAAAATTATAAAAAGAAAAAAATATCCGGAAAAACATCCCATTCTCTAAGTCTTTAGGAATGTCCTGAAAGTATCATTGGGAAAAGATCTCAAAGTCACTTTTCCTCTTGAAAAACGTGTTAATTTTTCAGAAGACTTATTTTAAATGTAAAAACTCAGGTTGTGTCAGATCCTGAGTTGAATTCTGAGGCTGCGTTGCATTCACACAGGCATTGCTTCATCAGGGAGTCTGGGGGTGTGTCAGGATGGGAAAGAAGGCTAAGGAGGAAGATCCCCACCCCGGACCCCGAGCCTGTACTTCACTGAATGGTAGTGGCCCAGGAGCAGCTGGCTAAAACTGACGTATCTGTCTGTCCCATCACCTTTGAATCTAGCCAACCCTGTTGTGGCTGTGAAATTGATGAAAAAAAAATAAAATAAAATAAAAACCTTCCACTATACCTTGGAAGAAATTTCAAATTGTTCAGAGCCCGGTCTTGCAGATAGGATCCAGTGGGATTCGAACCTGAGGAACCCCACAGGCACTGTCTTGAGAGAAGCCCAGCAAAGCTCCCCAAGTAGCCAGCACCACCCCCTTCCCTCACTATGACCTAAGAGAAGGGAGTGAGTGCCTTTCAGTAAGTCATCAGGAGGGCTGGTGCATGGATGTGATTTTGAGAGTCTGATGCCAGCCATTCTCAGCACTTATCTTGCAGGATCCTTCTTGGCCTCTGAGACATTTACTGTGGAAGTCTTTTTTTTTTTTTCTTTTCTTTTCTTTTTAAACAGAATATGCTGAGGTGACTTCGCTTTTTAAATTTGCAGAAATGTGTTTAAATATGTGCTTGATACATGAACCGCTATGGCATGAACTGTGGGGACGCAAAGGAAGATTTTCTGCTCTAATATGTTGGATTTCTCCCAGTGCCTGGGTGGAAAGTCAGGAGGGAGGTGTCCCGGTCCCCTGAGCACAGCCCCACCACCAGGGTCCCTCAGTTCCCTCCCTCATTTCTTCGCTCCATAACCTTGGCTTAGTCATTTCTCCCTACTCTGCCTATTTCCTGATCTGTAAAACTGGGTTATGCATACTTATGCTACCTGGCTCACGGGGATTTGTAGTAGATTAATAAGATAACATCTGCAAAGTACTTTTAACTCTTTTTTCAAAAGGTACAGTAAGGATCGCAAAGTTATTACGGATATTGAACAATTCTGTGCACTCACCCCGTAAACATTCCTGCAGATATTGATAATATTTCCACTAAAAAAACCAAACTAGGCAAGCTCCTGCAAAGACTGGGTGGTCGGGGGGGGGGCAGGCGTTAGCGCCCTCTCACCCTTCCTCTTCTTACTTTCACAGCCCATCTGTAGCAAGGGGAAAGTGGGGAACAAGCAGCTGGGCAATCGGTAGTTCTTTGGCACAAATGATATCCCAGCAGATAGACCAACCACCTTCCCCTCCCCCTGCGCTGTTTATTCAGGTCACAAGGAAGCAGTTGGTTCCTGCCCTCTCTTGGGTGTGTACTTGATTTGCCCACTCAGGCTTTATTTCTTCTGTGTCCTATGACATCCTTCCCATGAAGAAACATCCTCCTTGTATTTTTTTTTTTTCTAATGCTGACAGTTAATGTTGGATTTCATTCTCTATCTTTTCCGTACTTACTCCTGGGATGAGTTGGGCTCTCCCAGGTGATAGAATCTAAAGCTAATTGAGAAGTAGGCAAATTTATGTGCGGCGCCTGCCCAGCTATTCACAACTTTCCCACCCCCTTTCTCTCTCTCTGACCTCAAGGGGATATAATAGTGCCTGGTAAGACCCCTTCCCACCTCCCTTCTCTCTGTCCTTCCTTTCCTTCCTCTCTCTTTCTCCTCCTCCATTCTTTCTTCCTCCTCTCTCTCTTTTCCTCTCCACCTCCCCTCTCTCTTCATTCCTGCCTCTCTCGCTCTATCCCTTCCATGCTAGAAATAAAACCCTGCTAGAAATACACGAGCCTATAGCTCTAGCCTGCTAGCTCTGATATTGATTTTAGGAGCTATAAAGCCAGAAATTGAAAGGGATTTGAACCTGGGTTTTGGAGGCTTAATGAGAAGCACAATTCATGTAAAGAAATTTTAAACTTCCTCAGAAAGACAGACTACACTTCGGGCTTAGAGAAAGTCTCTTAAGCTTTCAAAGTGGTGGTTCCTAAAGAGCCTGAGATGCGGCCCGAATCGGCATCTCTGTGTTAGCTACTGACATGGTACCCTAGGAACTGTCAAGTCTTACTGAGTTCCTGGATTCCAACCCGTGCTAGGGATGGGCACTTCATAGTGTGGGGTTCTTATCCTTACAGGCAACCGGGGAGCCTGAGCTTAGGCAGGGCAGGATGTAGGTCTCCTTACAGATATGGGCAGACTCAGGCCACACTCTGCTCAGGTATTCTATATAAAGGATCTGAGACCAATTCATTTACCAAACAGATACGACGTTTCATTCAAAATGAAAAGGTGATGAGCTTTGGTTCCACCCCTGTGACTTGACCTTCACCCTTAAAGGTTTTAGGGTGGGTTTTTGAGGATGGTCGCCAATGGCACAGGTCCCCTCTGTATTGACACGGCTACTATTTGTGTAGTAGCATGACTCTACATCTCTCCTAAACCTGGTAAGGGCAAGCTTTATTAATTAATAAATATCCTCCCCAACACAAATATCCCAATTAAACTTTGGCCTTTTGGCATGAAAACAATTATCTTCAAGCCTTTAAAGGTATGCTGTTTGAAAAAAAAAAATTTTTTTTGCGCAAAAGAGGACAGAATTCATGTGTATGAAATGGACTTGCTATTGAAAACCTGTTTGTAGCTTTTTTCCCCAGGCTTGTGCCCTAGAATGACAGTCTTTGGGTGTCCTATGCTTTGGGCGTCTTTTAATCTGGTGCAGTGGCCAGGTCCTCCATGCGGGGCACCTCTCTCTTTTACCAGCCTCTCTGGACTCCCTGTATCGTCCTAGCTTTCTACTGAGCAGCATTTCATCTCTTTGTTCCATAGGTAGTGTGATCTTCAGATACAGTCAGCGCAAAGTTACTATAAAGTTTTTTAGTGCCGCAAAACCTAGAAACCCAGGCAGGCCTGGTGGAGATTCATCAAGTTACAAATAAGCTTCCTGTTCCCAGGGTAGCAGTCGCAATTAAGAAAGTCCTTAGAGCATTCGTTGGGGTGGAATGGGAAAATGGATTTTTGTCATTAGAGGCAGTGTCGCCTGGTGGTCTGAGTGGAGAACTGGGAGCCAGGAACTCGGCGATCTAAGGAGGCCCTGCTCAGCCCTCCTGGAGGCTTCCGGCAAGCAGCTTGGGTCTCAGGAGGCCAACCTCACCTACTTTGAATCTCCCATCTGAAGCGCTCCTTACCCAGGGCCAGGGGATACGCAGCAGGAAGCTGATTCCTTGCTTGCAAAATGAGAATATTAATACTTGCCTAAATAACCGACTAACCAATTAGTATTAGCGTTCTGCTGATAGAAAACAGCAGGAGAAGAAAGGAGGAAAGGAAAAGCCCAAACGCATTTTTATGATTAGATGGGTTTTACTTAGCTGTGGGTGTTTTGACGGGCAGGAAACCCAGGGTGCACGGTGCCAAGAGCCATGCAATGAAAGGGCCGGAGCCAGAAGGCAGAGGGGCCGCCTCCTAGGAAGGAGCTAGGGGTTGTACGGACAGACCAGTCTGTCCTTGAATCCAATGAATTGCAGGATGAAACTTCATCCAAATCATTGGGAGCTTTTCTGTCTGAGGTATACAGTTTAATTTCTTCCAGATACGATAATCCAAAGTATTGGGCATTTCTAATGTCTGTATTCTACAAATATCAATTTGTCCTCCTTCCTCTCTGTCTCTGTCTCTGCCTATCTCTTGGCTGTATGTGCGTGCGTGTGTGTGTGTGTGAGAGAGAAAGAGAGAGAGAGAAAGAGAAGGAATCACTAAGAAAATTGTGGAATGTGGGGTCTGTGGACAACATTCCTGAAGCTGAAGAAAATTGTTGGTATTTTGCATTTTCAGGAAGAAAATTACCCCATTAGCCTCCTCTTTTGTTGAAAGACATTGCTGGGGGAAGAGAACAGAAAAGGGCCACTCTTGTGTTTCCTGCTCTGCATAGTTTTAGGTGGCCCTGAAGATTATTATATTACAATAAACTCACACAAAAGCCGAAGAAAGAAGCATTTTCTGTTTCTCAGGTTTAGAGCCCTTGACCTTTTGTGTGCAACACCTGTACAGGAAGACACAGCCTGTCCTTTGGGCTCATTTAGTTTACGTGACAATACCCACAGTACACACTAAAAGAAAATCTTGGCAGCAGACGGTAGCGGCTTTGCACAAAATGTTGCTACAGATGTCAACTATACTAATACCTTGTATTTCTGGCTTTGGAATTCTGACTTAGTAATTGCAATTTCTATTGATTTTTTAAAAATAAGGTCCTGAATGTATTTTGCTTTTCCCTTTCACTAAGACAGACGATGTACTTTAAGTAAGCCATAAAGTCTTGTCATTCTGTTCTATCTAAAACTCAAATGCCATTATAAACAAAATATTAAGG